CTGAGGCCCTGGGTTTGATTCCTCAACACCACATAAGAAAAAAGCGGGAAGTGGCGCTGTGGCTCAAGTGGTAGAGCGCTAGCCTTGAGCTGAAGAGCTGAGGGACAGTGCCCAGGCCCAGAGTTCAGGCCCCACGACCGGACCAAAAAAAAAAAAGTGATGGAGCACTATCCTTGAACCATTCCTGATGCTTGAACTCAGGGCCTGGGAGCTATCCCTGAGCTCTAGCTCTTGCTCTTGCTCAAGCTAGTGCTCTACTACGTAAGCCACAGCTTTTTGGTAGTTAATTGGAAACAGAAGTCCTATGGACTTTCCTGCTAGGGCTACTTTGAACCAAGACCTTTAGCTCTCAGTCTCCTAAGTAGCTAGAATTATTGGCATGAGCCACAGGTACCCAGCTTCTTCGTTTTAAATGAAGCAGTCTTGGATTTGTTCAATCCCTGAAACTAATTTACTAGGTTCCCCGAGTCAACTTCAGAGCCTTGGTTTCCCATGTAAGGTCACTGGGAGGAAAGAGTATCGGAGGGAAGGGACCTAACAGTGCAGAGTACATGGTAAATGAAGGTGAATTTTTGTTCTCATGCTCTTTCTTCCTTTGATCAACCAACAAACTGTAGCATCCCCACTTGGCTTTTTCCACTCTTGACTGGCACTCTACCACTTAAGCCACACCTCTACTTTCCACTTTTCACTGGTTAGTCGGAGACAAAAATCTCTCAGATTTGTCTTCCTGGGCTAGTTTTGAGCTTCTATCCTTAGGTCTAAGTATCCTGAGTAGCTAGGATTATAGGCATGAGCCACCTCCCTTGTCCAGAGACAAGGTTGCATCTTTCTGGGAGTGGGATGAATTATACAATAAATAAACCCAATTTTAAAGGAGGTATAAAAATGGAAAAAGCACCCAGGCAGGGGCTGGGAAGGTGGCTCAGTGGTAGAGCGCTTGCCTTGCATGCATGAGGCCCTAGGTTCCATTCCTCAGCACCACATGAGCAAAAAGAAAAAAGCTGGAAGTGGTGCTGTGGCTCAGTTGGTAGAGCGCTAACCTTGAACTGAAGGACAGCACCCAGACCCAGAGTTCAGGCCCCACGACCAGACCCCCCCCAAAAAAAGAAAAAAAAAGCACCCAGGCAGATGAACAACTTTAGCATCTTTGAGAAATGGAGAATATGGAAAGCCCGGGTGAGAAAAGGTCTTTTTTTTTAAGCCAAGGTGTAAAGTGCTTGGAAGAGCTGGGACTGGAACCCAGGACCTGCACGTACTGAGCACACAATCTACCACTAAGCTACGCTTCAACCTGGAATTTATTTTTTTTGGGGGTGGGGGTCCAGTCATGGAGGCTGAACTCTGGGCCTGGGCGCTGTCCCTCAGCTCTTCAACTCAAGGCTAGTGCTCTACCACTTGAGTCACAGTGCCACTTCCGGCTTTTTTCTTTTTGCTTATGTGGTACTGAGGAATTAAACCCAGGGCCTCATGCATGCAAGACAAGCGCTCTACCACTGAGCCACCTTCCCAGCCCCTGGAATTGACTTTTAAGAATGTCATTCTAGCCGGGCGCTGCTAACTCACACCTGTAATCCTAGCTACTGAGGAGCCTGATATCTGAGGATCGCAGTTCAAAGCCAGCCTGGGCAGTAAAGTCTGTGAGACTCTTATCTCCAATGAACCACCAGAAAACCAGAAGTGGTGCTGTAGCTCAAGTGGTAGAGCGCTCGCCTTGAGCTGAAGAACTGAGAGATAGGGCATGGGCCCAGAGTTCAAGCTCCATGACTGACAAAAAAAAAAAAAAAGTCATCCTGCCCAGGAGCTGGTGGCTCATGCCTGTAATCCTATTCAGGAGGCTGAGATCTGAAGATTGTGGTTTGAAGCTAGCTAGGAAAGTCTGTGAGACTAAAGCCTAAGCACTGTCCCTGAGCTTTTTGCTCAAGGCTAGCACTCTACCACTTGAGCCAGAGCACCACTTCCAGCTTTTTCTGTGTATGTGGTACTAAGGAATCGAACCAGGGCTTCAAGCATGCCAGGCAAGCACTCTACCACTAAGCTACATTCCCAGCCCTCTATGAGACTTTTTATCTCCAATTAACCACCAGAAGACCAGAAGTGGCTCTGTGGCTCAAAGTGGTAGAGTGCTTGCCTTGAGTGAAAGAACTCAGAGACAGTGCCCAGGCTCTAAGTTCAAGCCCCACGGCAGACAAACATATAAAAGTCACTCTGGCATCAAGTGAATGAGACTAGAGGCGGCAAAATAGCCATGTGAGCAGCCTAATAATCTAGATGATTATGAAGGTCATCATGTCCTTGATCTTAGAGGAGATGGCAGAATGCAGAACACACAGACCAGCAGCTGCTAGGGAGCTGAGGGGACCACGTGTGGTGAGCAGATAGAAATGGTGGGCAGGATGAGGATGCCACGTGTTGGACAGTCTCAGTTCACCTAGCTCCCAATTAGCATCCTCCTGCTGCCTGGGGCATGCCAGGAGCCCACTCTCAGAGCACTGCACCCCCAGACAGAAGCTAGCCTGGCTGTTTGCTTCTACAGCTCCTTGTCCTACTCCCTGCCCGGCTCTGCTGTTGCTCTCTCCCCTCCTCACCCTGCTGCTCCTCCCGCCTCCCACACCTCCTTTCTGCACACTCCTTGCAAAATCTCTTCTTTAGCTGTTTCAGTTTCCCAGGTGCCCTCCGCATCACCCTTCAGCCTCTGGTAGAAAGGAAGGGGTTTGTTTCTGGAGATAAGATTTCACTCTGTAGCCTGGGATGGCCTCAGACTCTCTGGCTTCTGCCTCCTGAGTGCTGAGCTTACAGAAGTGTGCCACCATACCTAGCTATCAAGTTCTTTTGTCCGGGACTTTCTGGACTCCATGACCTACCTCCTGACCAGCTTCCGGTTCCCTCCTCGCTCCCCTCATCTCAGCTCCCCTCCCCATCTGTACTGGGATTTGACTCCTGCTCTCTTCTGTCACAGCACCACCTTCACGTGTGAAATGAAAATAACCTGGCACGTGCCCACCAGCCCTCGTTGGAGTTAAGGGGTGAAGGACTAGTTTTGTTCTAGTGTGGTACATGAATAGAGCCCATTTCATGGGTGACAAAACTGAGGCTTGGAGAGATGAAGACTCTGAGCTTAGACTGTTGAACTGTACTGTGTTCCAAGGTGAGCCACAGCCTGCTCTAGACGGGGCAGGATCGGGTTCAGATGAGTATGAAGGAAAAAATGAGTGTACAATGCTACGCGCCTGGCAGGTGGTAAGCATTCAGTATTACTCCCAGCTTCAGGGTGACCAGAGCCAAGGGGAGGGGGGCCCCCCCGCCTCCCAGGCCCTCCAGGATTCCTGTGGGGACTTGGCCTCTCCTGCTTTTTCTACCCTTGCTCCTCTTTGCTGCCTCCACTTCCTCCTCTCCCCAGCCCCAGATGGGGTCTGGCTGGCTTCTCCCAGGCTGTAAAGTTATTTTCTCCTTTCAGTCCAGACTCCATTTCTATCCCGGGCTGTACTGAACAGGGCAGAGGCACTGAGCAGTTCAAGAAGAGCTCAACAAAGCGTCTTCCTCAATCCTCCCCCACCAACGCTGACCAAACAAACACCTCACAGGAAAAGCCATGAGCTCCCGGGACAGGTGCGCCTGAAGGTAAGCCCAAACCCCTTCCCCATCAGACTGCCAACCGTGGTTTCTTCCAGAAGGTCTGGCTCCACCCTGGCTTGGCATGATCCAGACCCTTCACCCCGCCCCCCCAGCTGACTTCTCTTGAGTCAGACACTGGATCCTGGGGTCTCCTGGCCCATCCTCACCGTAAGGCCTGCCCCCCCACCCCGAAAACACAGTCACCCTCCAAACCAGTGGGCTGGCCTGCTTCCCTCTAGCTTTGACCAACTCAAGACCCCTCCTCACTCTGTGCCCGGGGCCCTGCTGTGCCCCCAAGCAGCACCCCCCTCCTCCGGCTGTTAGCCTGGGAAGGGGGCCAGCCCCTGAGCTCAGACCTTGGCCATTCCAGTGTCTGAGGCCGCCCGCCAGCCCCGGGGAAGAGGGGGGAGGTGGCAGGGTGGGCACCGGGAAGCTCTCCAATTGGGGGGGGGGACGGGACGGGGGAAGGAAAACTGGGCGTCTAGCGCCGTTCTTTCTGATCCTCTTCCGGACCCCACTGGCTTCTTCCTGGGACCTCACTGAACCTTGGCCAAAGGGCTGAGCCTCGGAGGGGAGAAGTGACTTTGGGGGGCGGTAAGGACCACCCCCCCGCAGGTGGCAAGGACGGCTGGGGAAGAAGAGCCCACGCGGCCTCCGACCGTCCGAGTGACCCCAGGCAAAGCCCTTCTTCCTCCCCAGCCTCGGTTTCCCGCCGGGACGCGGACCGGGAGGCGGCGTACCCCGGGCCTCCCCGCCCCGCCCGGAGGAATCTGGCGGGCCGGCGCGCGGGTCCCAGGTGAGGGCTCCCTGGAAAGCGCCCAGCGGCGGGCCCGGGCCCCGGCCGCGCACCCGCGCTCCGCGGGGCAGCCGCGACCCCGCGTTAGCCAGGAAGAAAAAAAGTGAGCCAAAAAAGAGAAAAAAACAAAACTGTCTCCCTGGCCCCGGGCCAGCGTCCCAGCCCCCCTCGCCCTCGCCGCCGCCGCCGCCGCCGCGCTCCAGCCAGGGAAAACAACTGCTCACTTCTCCCTGCGTCCGCCCCGCGCCCTGCGCCCGCCCCGCGCGCCAGCGTCCGCACCGCGCACCCTGCCTGCATCCCGACGGACGCGGCGAGGGGCGCGGAGCGAACCGACCGCACGGCATTCATCCCTCGCTCATCCTATCCGCCTACGCGGGCTCCCGACTCCGGCCCGGGCCAGGCCGGGACGTGTCCGCCGCTCCCCCGCGGTCCCAGCATCCACCTCTCGGCCTCGCCCCGGGGGCGCACCCGGCCGCGCCTGCCGTCCCCTCCCCGCCCGCTCCCTCCGCTCCTCTCCACCCTATGCGGGGTTCCCGACCCCCCGGCTCCCCCTCGCCCCCCTCCACCCCCGGGGTCGCGCGGGCCCCGGATGCCCGGGCCCCTCGGGGCTGCCGGCGGCCTGGCCCCTGCGATGCGCGGGGCAGGGGCGGCGGGGCTCCTGGCGCTGCTGCTGCTGCCGCTGCTGGGCCCGGGCGGCGGGGCCGAGGGGGGGCCGACCGGCGAGCGCGGCGCCGGCGGGGGCGGGGCGCTGGCCCGCGAGCGCTTCAAGGTGGTCTTCGCGCCGGTGATCTGCAAGCGGACCTGCCTCAAGGGCCAGTGTCGGGACAGTTGTCAGCAGGGCTCCAACATGACGCTCATCGGAGAGAACGGCCACAGCACCGACACGCTCACGGGCTCCGGTTTCCGCGTGGGTGAGCACCGGGGGCTGCGGCTGGGAAGTGCGGGACAGACCGGCGCCAGGACCAGGGGGGAGACGCGCAAGAGCAGAGGAGCCTTGGGCAGAGAAGATGAAGGGGGGGGAAGTTGGGGTACAGAGAGCCCCCCCATCTGGGGCCCTAGGGAACTGAGGGGCTTGGGAGACTGCAGTCCTCAAGGCCAGAGTTGGGGAAGGGTGCGGGGCACATGGAGGCCTGCACTTGGAATCTTTCGGTGAGAGTTGGGGCCTAGACTGGGGTCCTGGATGGCAGGGGCAGAGGGCACAGGGCTGTGCTTGGAGAGGTGGCACACACCCCTATCGGTGCAGGAAGTCTCCAAAAGGGGGGTAAATATTTTCACAAGAAACAGAAGCCTTTTAAAAAATGTCTAAGGCAGGGCCTGCCAGGGGACACCTGCCTCCTGGGGGAGGAGCCAGGGCAGAAAAGGGGGAGGCATTGAGGCCTGAGAAGTAGGGTGCAGGCCTGGAGTTGGGGCTGTTTTAGGTCATCAGTGCCTCCTCTCCTCCTGTCTCCCAATGAGCTCCCTGTGTGCCAAGGCTGGGGGGGGGAGAGGTGTCCCAGTAGTAATTACCCTGTTGGACAGGGTAATTAGGCCGAGCCCAGGATGGGACCAGCAAAACAGCCCCCCTCACACATTCCTCACCCACTCCAGACCTGAGGAGCCCCACTCATGCGGTTCACCCCTCTCACGATAAGGATGTGTGTGTGTGTGTGCGTGTGTGTGTGTGTTTACACAGGCACATTGTGATTAGTTCATGTCTGTTATTGTCTCTGGTATGTGTCTGTGCTCACTTCCAGGGAGTGGATGGGAGTGTTTACATAGTGAGTCTGTGTTGGTGTCAGAATGAGTCGGTGTGTGCTTTGACTGTGCTTGTGAGTATATGTGTGCCCAGCCTCCCAGACCCCCTGGCCATCCTTGCTGTCTCCATATGTGCTGCCCACATCCCCCAGGCTCGGTGCCCAGGCCACAGTGGGCGGATGTCACCAGGAGGTCATCCACGCCGCTATGAGTGACTCATTGGGAGGCAGGAAGGAGAGGATCCTGCCTCCCCCGGCCCAGGACACACCTCTTGTGCCTGATGAGGCCTGGCCCCAGGAGGCCGGGCAGGGGAGGGGGGAGGGCAGGCTGGGCTAGGATGCTCTTGGTGTGACCCTAATTTAGCCAGGGATAGGGCTGTCCCTCTCTATGAGGAGGTCTAGGTATCCAGGAGGTGCTGGAGCTGGTACAGGATCTCAGGACTCAAGGCTAGAAACAGGTCAGGTGTGAATACCTGGAGAAAGAGGGTCTCATGTCTTGTTCAGTCACCTCTTCCCTCATCCTCCTGAGCCCCAGCTCTGGCCTCCAAATGCTTTTTTTTTTTTTTTTCCTGTACTGGGGCTTAAACTCAGGGCCTCACGCTCTCATTTGGCTTTTTGCTCAAGGCTGGCACTCTGCCATTTGAGCCACATCTCCATTTCTAACTTCTTGCTGATTAATTGGAGATAAAAAGTTTCATAAACTTTCCTGCCTGGGCTGGCTTTGAACTGAGATCCTCAGATCTCAGCCTCCTGAGTAGCTAGGATGACAGGCTTCCAAACACACTTTGTAGTAGGGAAGACATGACACTGTAACCAACCATGCCAAGCCGCGCTGAGGGGGTGAAACTCAAAGAGAACACATGGCAGGGATGGGGCAGGACGATGGTTCTTCCTAGGGAAGATGAGTCCAGGAGGATCAGGTTTTAACAGAGATGGCCGACAGGACTCGGGTGGAGGAAAAGGCAGGAATGGAATATATATACCATGGAAGGGGCAGAGGGGGATGAGCTGAGAGAAAGTTCTGGATGGTAGAGAGCCTTGAATATCCAGGAAAGAGTTGGAGGCACAACAAGCCCAAGTCGTTGAGTTCAAACCTCAGAGCTGGGGAAGAAAATAAAATAAAGGTTCTCTCGTATGCCCAGCAGAGGATGAAAATGGTGAGCTGGGATTGTGAAATGCCAGACTTTTGCCTGAGGCAGGCGTCTCTAGGGATGCTGGGATTGTAGCCTGGCAGGAGAGAGACTGGAAGCCAGGGAGGGTCTGGGCATCATGGCCAGACACAGAGGAGGGACAGAGGCCAGGCGTAGAGGAGAGATGGGTTTCAGGAACATTTCAGAAGCCATAACTGGAGGAGCCTCTGTAAATGGGGGCCTGAGGCTGGGTTCCATGTGTCTGAGCAAGCAAGGGTTCCCAGTGGTGACCCCAGGTAGAGAGCTGTTGATTTTGGAAAGTGCTAGGGAGAAGTTCTGGAAGGGTCAGAGGCTGTGGTTGTGTCCACAGATGGGGTATTATTGGCAGCAGTGTGAGCCCTTGGGGGCTGGTGGGGGGTGGTGTTCAAAGAGCTGAGGAGAGAGGGCAGAGGACGAAATTAGGAGGAACAAGTGGAGGGGTCAGAAAGAATCCATCCCCAGGAAAGGCTGTTCCGTAAGGGTGGCCATCATCCTTACTGCCCCGTACTCTCAACAGTCTGCGTGTGCGCCCCGCTGGGCCGGGCATCTGTACAGTCACTGCCTCATTTGGCACAACAGCCCCGCAGATGAGTGCCCCAAGCGGGGACGTGAGTGCCACACAGGAGCCAACCACCATTTAAATTGGCCACTTAAGATTTTAGAACCTGGGCTGGGAAGGTAGCTCAGTGGTAGAGTGCTTACCTTGCATGCATGAGGTCCTGGGTTTGATTCCTCAGCACCACATAAGCAGAAAAAAGCCGGAAATGGCGCTGTGGCTCAAGTGGTAGAGCGCTAGCCTTGAGCTGAAGAGCTGAGGGACAGCGCCCAGGCCCAGAGTTCAGGCCCCACGACCGACCGTGGTGGGAAGGGGGTCGTCAGGGAGGGCAGTTTTCACTTACATGACCAAAACCATCTTCCACGTGAGAACAGGGTCAGTGTGTGGCAAGGAATTGGTGGGTGGGGAACTCCCAGACCCTGACCCCCACTTCTCCTCCCCAGTGGTCTGTCCTCTGCCCTGCATGAATGGCGGCCAGTGCTCTTCCCGAAACCAGTGCCTGTGCCCTCCAGACTTCACAGGCCGCTTCTGCCAGGTGCCCGCTGGAGGAGGCGCGGCCGCGGGCACCATTGGCTCCGGCCCCGGGCCGGGCCGGGCCGGCCCCCTGTCTACAGGTGCACTAGCTCCGGAGGGTGACTCGGTGGCCAGCAAGCACGCCATCTATGCCGTGCAGGTGATTGCCGACCCTCCTGGACAGGGGGACGGACCCCCGGCCCAGCACGCCGCCTTCCTGGTGCCCCTGGGGCCAGGACAGCTCTCAGCAGAAGGTACCAGGCCAGGGGGCAATACTGGGGTGCTTACCAATGGGGTGGGCCCAAGGGGGGCCCTCCAAGGTGGAGCAGCCCTGAGGCCACCACGCCCGCCCCCAGTGCAGGCCCCGCCCCCCGTGGTGAACGTGCGTGTCCACCACCCGCCGGAGGCCTCTGTCCAGGTACACCGCATCGAGGGGCCCAACGCCGAGGGCCCGGCTCCCATCCAGCACCTGCTGCCTCACCCCAAGCCCCTGCACCCGCGGCCACCTACCCAGAAGCCCCTGGGCCGCTGCTTCCAGGACACGCTGCCCAAGCAGCCGGTGAGCGAACACAGTTCAGAGCCCAGGCTGCGGCGAGAAGGGGTGTGGAGGGGAACGGACCTCAGAAGGTGGGGGAACAGGGCTGGGTGCCGCGTGTGACCCCTGTCCACGCTTCTCCCCGCAGTGTGGCAGCAACCCCCTGCCAGGCCTCACCAAGCAGGAAGACTGCTGCGGCAGCATCGGCACAGCCTGGGGTCAGAGCAAGTGCCACAAGTGTCCCCAGCTGCAGTGTGAGTGTGTGGGAAGTCCCCTCCCCACGCCACGCTCCCCGGTGCCCTCTGCACCCCTCCCCCTTGCCATGCTGTCCTCTCTTTGCAGACACCGGGGTGCAGAAGCCAGGACCTGTACGTGGGGAGGTGGGTGCTGACTGTCCCCAGGGCTACAAAAGGCTCAACAGCACCCACTGCCAGGGTATGGACAGCAGGAGATTGGGACTCTGGGACGGGAGGGAGCGTGGGGGGGAGGTGCCGAGGTTGGGCCCGTGAGAGTCTGAGGTTCTTGCAGAAGGCTGCTATCACTCTAATGGCGCCAGACCAAAGGGACCAAACTCTCCCTCACCACAGACATCAACGAGTGCGCAATGCCCGGCATGTGTCGCCATGGTGACTGCCTCAACAGCCCCGGCTCTTACCGCTGCGTCTGTCCACCCGGCCATAGCTTGGGCCCCTCCCGCACGCAGTGCATTGGTGAGACGGAGTGGGTGAAAGGGGTGAAACTTTTAAGCAGCAAGAGTCAGAGGCCTGGAGAAATGAGAGTGAGCCAGGTACTGGCAGCTCACAGCTATAACTTTAGCTACTCAGGAGGTTGAGATCTGAGGATCACAGTTCAAAGCCAGCCTAGGCAGGAAAGTCTATGGAACTCATTTATCTCCAACTAACTACCAAAAAGCCAGAAGTAGAGTTGTGGCTCAAGAATGCTAGCCTTGAGGAAAAAGAGCTTAAGGACAGAGCCCTGAGTTCAAGCTCTAAGACCAACACACACACACACACACACACACACACACACACACACTCAAGTCAAGAGCTGACTGCAGGAAGCTGAAGGCTAGAGCAGGTAGGATCAGGGTTGATGGCGCTGGGATTCCGTGTCAGGTCCCTCATCTGTGGAAGGAGGAGTGAAAAATTGGGTGATACGAGGTCAGGGCCACCATGGGAACTAGAGAAGCAAAGTCTGGAGCAGCTGGGCAGAGGGATGAGGGATGTGGGCGGTGCTGAGGGTCATGAGCCTGCCCTTCACCCCTGCAGCAGACAAACCAGAGGAGAAGAGCCTGTGCTTCCGCATGGTGAGCCCCGAGTACCAGTGCCAGCACCCCCTGACCACGCGCCTCACCCGCCAGCTCTGCTGTTGCAGTGTGGGCAAGGCCTGGGGCACACGGTGCCAGCGCTGCCCTGCAGATGGCACTGGTGAGGACACGTGGAGGGATCATGTTGGGGGCCGGCTGGCCGCGTATACCAGGCCAAACACTCATGTCTGTGTCCACTGTGGCCCCTGTCTTGATTGCAGCTGCCTTCAAGGAGATCTGCCCCGCGGGGAAGGGCTACCACATCCTCACCTCCCACCAGACACTCACCATCCAGGGCGAAAGCGATTTTTCTCTTTTCCTGCATCCAGATGGGCCACCCAAACTCCAGCAGCCCCCTGAAAGCCCCAGCCGGGCACCATCCCCTCAGGACACAGAGGAAGAGAGAGGTCTGCTCTGACTCCATGACCCCTAACCCACAGATACGACTTCATGTTTAACTCCCTAAAACCCACTGACAGGACTTCACATTTAACTCTCTTTTAATTGTTGGTGGTACTAGTGTTTGAACTCAGGGCTCTGCTCTCTTGCTAGGCAGGCATTCTACCGCTTGAACTGCACTCCTAATCCTTTTACTCTAGTTATTTTTCAGATTGGGTCTGAAGCTTGAACTCTGGGCCTGGGCACTGTTCTTCAGCTCAAGGCCAACGCTCTACCACTTGTGCCACAGCTCCACTTCTGGTGGTTTATTGGAGATGAGTCTCCCAGACTTTCCTTTCTCGGGCTAACTTTAAATTTTGAGCCTCAGATCTTAGCCTCTTGAGTAGCTAGGATTACAGGCGTGAGCCATGGGGCGCCTGGGTCGAGATATGATTTTTGAACTCTTAAAGACCTACCCTAGCCAAACATAGGCTCACTTGCAATCCTGTTCAGGAGTCTGAGATCTGAGGATCTCACTCTGAAGCCAGCCTGGGCAGACAAATCCAGGAGAATCTTATCTCCAAATAACCAGCAAAAAGCTGGAAGTAGAGTTGTGGCTCAAGTGATAAAGCACCAGCCGTAAAGGAAAAACTCAAGCAAAAATGCAAGGTCTTGGCCAAGCCCAGTGGCTCACACTCATAATCCTAACTACTCAGGAGGCTGAGATAGGATGATCCCGGTTCAAAGCCAGCCCTGGCAGGAAAGTCCCTGAGACTCTATCTCCAATGAACTACTCAGAAAATCAGAAGTGGTGCTGTGGCTCAAGTGCTAGAGTGCTCGCCTTGAGCTGAAGAGCTGAGGGACAGCCCCCAGGCCCAGAGTTCAAGCCCCAGGTCTGACCAAAAAAAAAAGTGCAAGGCCCTGAGAGTTCAAGCCTCAATACCAACACATGAGCACACACACACACACACACACACACACGAGACCCAGTCTAGCTCACACCCAGTTGCTCATACCCTGACCTCTTCTCCCACCTCAACTTTTAATATCTCCATCTTCTTCCTTTTTAGGGGTGACCACGGATCCAGTGAGTAGGACAGCCTGGGCGGGAGGGGTGGAGGCGGTGGGGGAGACAGGGGGGCCCATGCTGCTGTCACCCACAGCCAGTGAGTGAGGAGCGATCAGCGCAGCAGAGCCACTCCATTGCCACCACCACGCCTGCCCGGCCTTTCCCGGGTGAGCTGGGCACTGCGGGGAGGAGACTGCAGGGATTAAGTCACTGGGAAGTGGGGGAGTGGAGTGGGGGAAAGACATTTATAATGGGGTGGAAGAGGGGGCTTTAGTCACCCCTCACCCTCTGAGGAGCTTGTGTTGCTGCCTGCAGAGTTGATCTCCCGCCCCTCACCACCTACTATGCACCGGTTCCTGCCAGACCTGCCTCCTTCCCGAAGCGCCGTGGAGATTGCCCCGACCCAGGTCACTGGTAAGGCAGGCAGCAGGCCATGCTCTGCTGTTACTTCCCGAATACCCAGGAGGCCACACCCCCAGTTTATTTTTCTCCTGGTGCGGCCCTCCGTCCTTCCAACAAACAATCATTCTCTACCACCAACATGCTAATGCTTGCCCAGGGCTGGGCACTAGGGAAGTTCTGGTGAACTGCAGAGATCGCACCCTACTCCCAGATGAGCCAGGGAATATATGGCAGTGAACCCAATCTGAGGGCATTCATTAATTCAGTTTACACTATCTATTACGTGCCTGGTTCTATTGAGATGCTGGGATTAGCATAGTAAACAAAACCAGACTGGAAAAAAAATCCTTGTCCTTGCAAAGCAGACAAAACAACAACAAACCCAGATAAGTAAACATCTAGCCTGTCTCATAAATCCACTCTGACCCACCCACCATGCAGTGATGAGCAGGTTAAGTAAGTCAGAATAAGTAAAAATCTAATATATTTCAAATGCTTTGAAAGAATAAACAAAAAAAAAGGAACTCCATAGGATATGATAATACACAGGACAGCAATGAGAGACAAGGCTTTCTGGAGAAGGCTTTAAAGATTGTTAAAAATGTGTAGCCAGGCACCGGTGGCTCAGGCCTGTCATCCTAGCTTCTCTAGAGGCTGAGGATTATGGTTGAAGGCCAGCCTGGGCAGGAAATTCCATGAGATTCTTACCTCCAGTTAACCACCAAAAAAGCCAAAAGTGAAGCTGTGGCTTAAGTGGTAGAGCACTAACCCTGTGAAAAAGTTGAACTCAGTGCCCTGGCCCTGGCACCAAAAACAGAATAAAGAGGAGGAGGAGGAAGAGGAAGGGGCATACAGGTTCCTGAAAGGAAAATTCCAGAGGGAGTTCAGTTTGGGCAAAGGAATAGAAGGATGAATCACTGGTGGAAGAGGGAGACACTACACTGAGATCCATGTTTCTGAACAAGCCTAGGGCATGGGCCTTGTTAGCCGGCCTATGTTTGCTGCCAGAGGCTATGAGAAGTGAGAAAGCACTTTAATCATTGTTAGCTAAGACTGAGCAAACCTCTCTCTGATGGCCACTTCCCCCCCAAAAATTAAGATGGGCACTGGTGGCCCACACCTGTAATCTTCACTTAGGAAGCTGAGATTTGAGGATCACATTTTTTTTTTTTGGAGGGGGGTCCGGTCGTGGGGCCTGAACTCTGGGCCTGGGCGCTGTCCCTCAGCTCTTCAGCTCAAAGCTAGCACTCTACCACTTGAGCCACAGCGCCA